TTGTTGTCTCTGTTGAGGAAGAGTCTGAGCTGGAAGAGATTGTTGTTGTCTCTGTTGTGGAAGAGCTGGCGCTGGAGGAACTTGGATGTTTACTCTATTTACTTGTATAAAATTAGGAGGTAATTTGAGGATTGCTTGCCGAGATTTATTATTATTTGATTTTGGTTTCAATATGCGTCCATTAATATTTTGATGACCATCAGTAATTTCATCATTAATATTTAAATTTCTTTCATTAACGTTTTGATTAATATTTGAATGGCTATTAATCGTTTCTCCATCAATATTTGAATTTCTTTCATTAACGTTTTGATTAATATTTGAATGGCTATTAATCGTTTCTCCATCAATATTTGAATTTCTTTCATTAATGTTTTGATTAATATTTGAATGGCTATTAATCGTTTCTCCATTAATATTTGGATTCCTATTGCCAATTATATCATTAATATTAAGCGCGTTTCCTGATTTAATTTTATCTGATTTTACATCTTCAATGATATCATATGAATCATCACTTGATTCAACATCGCTATCTGCTTTAAAAATCCCTTCTGCTAATACTTCTGTGTATTTTTTACCATTGCTATCTGTCCTTATTGCAATCATTTGACCTTTTATATCACTTCTTCTAAATTCTCTTACTTGTTTTAATAAGCAATTAAGTTCATATCCATATTCTTCGATTGAATCCATGTTCAGTATTTTCATAGCAGTATCAATGTCATTTCTGGCTGAAAACAATGCAATTTGTGAAATATCCATATCATATCCACATTTTATTAAATCCTCCAAATTTGATAGTTTAGTTGAAGAAATTATTGATTGTCAAATAGTTTAGAGGCTTTTTTGACTCTTTTATTTCAATTGTCATATCTGAATAATGTTTAACATAATTAAACAATTGTATCTTCTTTGAATCTTTTTGTAATATAAAAGTCTTTAGTTTAAGATGAAATACTTTGGAAGCATATAGATATAATGATAGACAATGTATTTTTTGAGGAGTATTGACTTTTTTTAATTTTATTTCCATATTTGAGCGTGATAACCATATCAAAAATGAATAACCTTAATTTATAAATCTGAATTTGATTTTAATAATAAAAATAATATATATATATATGTAATTCATGAGTTATATTTTTACACTTCATTTTACCTGAACAAATATAGCTGATATCAAATAACAATTTAATATAGAAATTGAAATTGTTATATATGCAATGTAAATACACATAATACATATATTATAATTTATCAATGATTATTGTCTAGACCAAAATTTGTAGATGGAATTATGCAATTTCTCAATTTAAAGTCCCAGCTGTTTGTATAACAACTTCATATTGAAATTTACTAATAAACACGGTAAGTTTCATAATTTTTATTATTATGATCTTACATTTGATTAAAATCGACGATTTTTCAATTGGAAAATAGTGCAAAGTAATAAAGAATATATTTAGCAAATTTTAAATTTTTTTCAAAAATTTTAGAATGAAATAGAAGGACTAGCAAAGATTTAAAGGAAATTTGAATAAACTCATAGAATTTTTGAAAGAAGAAGGGAGATTTGAGAGGATTTTTGGTCAGAAAAATATAGAATTAAATGAATAATTGGGTATGATAAGATAAGTGAAGGTAAAAGATAATTTTAGTAAACGAAAACGTGTAAAGTTGAAGCAAGGTAATATTTTAATCATTTAAAAAAGAAAAAGAGGAAAACTTGTTCTTGAATCTTCTTGGTGAAAGACAAAATTCAATGAAACAATGTTGATTGATGTACATTGACACAGAAACATTGATTGTGTAATCAATCTATTGAAACTACAAAACTTTGTTCTTGAATCTTCTTGGTGAAAGACAAAATTCAATGAAACAATGTTGATTGATGTACATTGACACAGAAACATTGATTGTGTAATCAATCTATTGAAACTACAAAACTTTGTTCTTGAATCTTCTTGGTGAAAGACAAAATTCAATGAAACAATGTTGATTGATGTACATTGACACAGAAACATTGATTGTGTAATCAATCTATAAAAATTCATTAAACTATTTTAGCTTTCCTTTAATTAATTTTATTATTTTAATTATTTGATCATTAAGTCTCATTGTTTTACAACATCCCCATTCTCTCATTATCTTCGTTTAAATTAATATCTATTTTTAGATTTATTATTATATGAACTTTTGTTTAGGTTCTTTTAAAATAAGTTTCTTTGCGAGAATTAATTATTTTTTGTTTTCCTAAACTTACACATTTATAATGAACATTCAAGCTAAATCGACATTGTTTTGATAATTAAATATGCATTTAATGAAAATATTAATTGTCACTTTTTATATTTGTTAATGAAAATGATTTTTAAGTTATAAGGTGCCATAACAATTGACAAAGAGTTATACATTTGTACAAACACATTTGTACACACTAGCATATTGTAGCAGTTTATATTACAAATAAAGATTCGCTTTATTTTACGAGTTTCAAATTTAGATCTGAACCATGTTGAAGATCTTTCAAATCAATACGACAAATACATTTGTATACACTAGCATATTGTAGCAGTTTATATTACAAATAAAGATTCGCTTTATTTTACGAGTTTCAAATTTAGATCTGAACCATGTTGAAGATCTTTCAAATCAATACGACAAATACATTTGTATACACTAGCATATTGTAGCAGTTTATATTACAAATAAAGATTCGCTTTATTTTACGAGTTTCAAATTTAGATCTGAACCATGTTGAAGATCTTTCAAATCAATACGACAAATACATTTGTATACACTAGCATATTGTAGCAGTTTATATTACAAATAAAGATTCGCTTTATTTTACGAGTTTCAAATTTAGATCTGAAACCATGTGAAGATCTTTCAAATCAATACGACAAATACATTTTATACACTAGCATATTGTAGCAGTTTATATTACAAATAAAGATTCGCTTTATTTTACGAGTTTCAAATTTAGATCTGAACCATGTTGAAGATCTTTCAAATCAATACGACAAATACATTTGTATACACTAGCATATTGTAGCAGTTTATATTACAGATAAAGATTCGCTTTATTTTACGAGTTTCAAATTTAGATCTGAACCATGTTGAAGATCTTTCAAATCAATACGACAAATACATTTGTATACACTAGCATATTGTAGCAGTTTATATTACAAATAAAGATTCGCTTTATTTTACGAGTTTCAAATTTAGATCTGAACCATGTTGAAGATCTTTCAAATCAATACGACAAATACATTTGTATACACTAGCATATTGTAGCAGTTTATATTACAAATAAAGATTCGCTTTATTTTACGAGTTTCAAATTTAGATCTGAACCATGTTGAAGATCTTTCAAATCAATACGACAAATACATTTGTATACACTAGCATATTGTAGCAGTTTATATTACAAATAAAGATTCGCTTTATTTTACGAGTTTCAAATTTAGATCTGAACCATGTTGAAGATCTTTCAAATCAATACGACAAATACATTTGTATACACTAGCATATTGTAGCAGTTTATATTACAAATAAAAATTCGGTATTTATTTTTATAACTTATTTTTTATTACATAGATTTTAATTCTAACCGAAAAATATTTCTAATCTATTTATATACATGTATTTTACTTAATGACATTGATGATATATGCAATTTATATGCACGTTTATCAATTATCAATATGAGCCATTGTATTGTTCATGGTAGTAATATTTGAATTTTAATAGTTGTTATCAACACCACGTAGCTTTTTGTCCTAAATTTATACTAATTGGTTCCGAAATAAGATTATAAATTTTTAAATTTAAATTCGACTTTTAAATACACTACTGATCGATTGCTTATATTGAGTTTCTGCTTTGCAAACAAGTTGAGGTTATAATTGTAAGTTTATTTGTATGAAATAAGAAATAATATATGTGACATTTGGATTTTATGCTACCATTTTTCTAAACAGGTGGTAGTGAGTCATTCACTTAAATATTGAGTAATCTTCAATAATGTGTAACGAAGATTTCTCTGAAACCATTAAAATAACGTATATAAATAATCGTATGTCAAAATGTGTGCCTATTTCAATTTTGCACACATTTTGACAGAAATTTGAATGAAATTTAGAGGTTTTTCTTCAAATTTGAATGATGCTTGTCAGAAAAAGTGTCAAAATGTGTGCAAATGTGTGCTATGTTTTTTTCTCTTCATAAAGATTTTCCAAAAATATGATACCGCAAAATTAAAAAAGTGACGTCTTGAGTGGAGTCAAAAGTCGAAATTGCTAGCTAAATGTTTTTTTAGCGAAATTGCGTATTGTACGTTTTTTCGCAAAACGAAACCCTTATTTGTGTGAAGTGATTTATAAGTAAACATAAAAATTTTAATTGTGTGAAGTGATTTTTTAGTCAAAAAAATAGTCAAAAAAAAACTTCATTTTTGATAAATGAGTTACGCCCAGATTGAAGTTCTTAAAGAAAAAGGAATACTTCGCAAAATCTATTGGCCTACAAGTCTCGTGGCAAATAATAATGAAGGTATTCTCGAAATAATGAAAGATGCCTCAAATCTTCAAAAAGAGAACATTTTCCTCGAGGAACTCGTTGATACTCATAAGGAAGATAATGGTAGTCTTTATGTTGACTATAAGCTTATTGAAGGAGAAGATTTATACCATTATTTGGAAAAAAACAACGTTTCAGATGCTGAAAAATTAGTATGGATTTATTTTATTGCCGACCAATTGGAGACTCTTCACAAAAAGGTTGTTCATAGAGATATTTGCCCAAAGAATATCATTATTGATTCAAATCATTATCCTCACATCGTTAACTATGATGTTGCTCAAAAAATAGGCCGACCGATGTTTGATGATCGACATGTTGGAACAGCTATTTATTAATCCCTTGAAGTTATTAGATCTTTAGATTACACTCCATCTTCGGATATTTTCGCTCTCGGATGTGTAATTTATTATATAATGACAGGAAAAGAGCCGAACCAAGAAGCTCAAGCCGTATATAAGAAATATGAAAAACAATCGAACGAAGTTCAAAGTTTTTTAGCAAATGTTGATCATCTTGCTCAAAATCTCGACAGTCCTACTAAAGTCACCGAAGATGATACTGATAAAATCATCTCCTTTATTAACTTATACCCAGAAGATTTCGAAGAATTCCAAGATATCACTCCAAACGACTTATATGATGCAGATATCCTTGAATACATGAAAGACCTTATCCATGTCTTCCTGGCAAAGATACAATATATACAAAAAAACGAAATCATGGAGATATTGGTAAACGAAGCCAGCTTATATGAGCTTCATAATGATGAATACAAATTAAAGTCACTTGTACTAAGCTGCACCGCAACAAATCCAGATTTCAGAAGAGATGCTAATTTTATTAAAAATTTCGTCTTAACAGAAGCAATGATACTTGACAAAGAACAGAAGCTTGAGTTCGATACATTGTTCCAGAAAGGAATTCTTGATCAGGTTGAACATTTAATCAATAATAATTTCCCTCTTGAACAAATTAAAGCGAAACTCAATTTAATATCTCCATTGCCTCAATTTGTTGCTAGGACAAATGAATTGAATTTCAAAGCAGAACAAAAATCCAATTAATATTATTGATATCTAATTTAAACATCAAGTTTTATTATTTTACTTACTAATTTGAATTTAAAGATATACTATGATTTTGACATGTAGCATGAGAATAGATCAGTATCTATATTTAATTTGGATTTGAAATTTTTCCAAAAAAAACGTTATTTCTTTGAGCAATCTAATGAGCCAATGAAGGTCAAACTTTCCTGGATTATGTAATGTGGATATATAGCAAGTTATATACTAAAATGTCATGTGGTAGAGACATTTTGGCACAGTTTTGACTCTTTTTTCTGAAGTTAATCAAATTCATGGGCTCCATTAACAAAATTGAAAGTTGGCATTAATATTAATAACCAATGAATCTATAAAAATAATAGAAGTAGTATAAAAAAATAATGATTTATTAGAATTGATATAAAAATTAAAGTAAAGATGAGATTGTCAATGAATGATGATAAATCATGAGGTCTTACAACAACAGATGAAATAAAAATAGCAAACTAATATGTCAAAAAATTGAGAACATGACGACTGAGTGTAAGAACAAATTCTGATATTTTGGCACTTTTTACTGTTTTTCTCCATTCGGAGAGGATATCATGCAAGTATATCAAAGAATATTTGGCATGAATTATATGGTGGAGAATGCAATACAAATCCAATAATATGCGCTAACTGTAATGTATCTGCTGTAAACTCAAAAAAAAAAAAAAAAAAAAAAAAAAAAAAAAAGGGAGTGGGGCTTCCAGGCACTTCGTGCCTTCTAGCCCTGAGGATGATTGGTATAATGAAGTTTTTTTTTCTTGGGGTGTCCTTCCAGGCACTTCGTGCCTTCTAGCCCACATAAATGAAGTTTTTATTCGGAGGTCTTCCAGGAGCTTTTCACAAATTATATATGTTTTCATGTTTTGTCAAGACTTCTTCGTAAATGTTTTGTCATGATTTCATTGTATATGTTTTGTCAAGACTTCTTCGTAATGAGCGTAAATGACCCAAAAATAATGTTTATGTTAGAATGTTAGATCTAACACGTTTTCTAACATGTTTTCTAACATCGTAGAAAACTCATGATTTCATCGTAAATGTTTTGTCAAGACTTCTTCATCGTAAATGTTTTTAACTTCACTTAAAATGCCACGTAAGCTACGTAAGAATATACGTAAGAGGAAGAGAGCATTGAAACATCCAATAGTAAAACTAACACCACAACAACAGTTGCAACAACAAATGCTGAATGACCCCACTATGTTGCAACAAATGTCAAGCAATCCTATGCTTTTAAACCGAGTTGTTGGTGCACAGAGTGGAGGTTTAAGAGCGGCACTTTTAGCGAAAATGGCAGGCTATGGTGGAGCTGCAGACGGAACAGCCTATAACCCTCAAAGTCAAATGAATTTGAGTTTACTCAAAAATCAAATATCAGATGTCAAAAAGTCAAACATAGACATACAGAAGCAAATAGGTGAAAACGAAAAGAAACTAGAATATGACAGACACACAAAGAAACTCAATGAGTTAAACGTAGAGAAAAAGAAGAAAGAAAACAACTGAAAGAACTAAGTACAGAGGAATATGCGAAAAAAGTGTCAGAAAAAGCAGCAGAAGTAGCAAAAATGGAACAAGATGTTGTAAATTTGAAAAACCATACTACTCAATATAAAGTACTGAAAGATGAAGAAATAAAACAAAAAGCCCTGAAGACATATATGGATAGCGATGAGTATAAAAAAGAAGTTGAAGCAAATGTAAAGGCAGAAAAACTTTTACAGTTGCAAAACCAAACCGTACAGTATGAAAACTTAGCACAAGAAAGTAAAAATAACGACGCAGCCATGCAAAAGGCAATGAAAAGCGCAGAATATATAAAAGCTAACAATGACTGGTTAGATGCCCAAGCCAACGCTAAAGCAGCCCAACTTATAGGGTCAATAAGGACAAAAATACAAGCGGATGAAGACAGTTCAAATGAAGCTTTAACAAATGCTGACTTTAAGAACGCCTTCGAAGCTCTTCATAGTAAGGTGAAACAAGTGAACGACTTCTCATCTGGAAAGAAACTGAAGTCTGAAGGTTTCGACAAAGAGTTAAAAGAAGTAGCACAAAATATGACGAAAATAACAGATGCAGCAACGAGACAGGCAGTTCAAAGTGCCTATGACGCCGTTAGAGCAACTGTTGTGAAAAGTCAAGAAAAAGAGTTACAACAGACCAAAACAGACCTAGTAAATGCTTTCTTAAGAACGAAAAGTCAGGTAGGACATTACGCTGCAGATGGAACATATGTGCCAGCTGGTGGAACTTATATACCAGCTGTTGGAATTTATATACCACCAAACCCTCCAAGAGAAGCACCTGCACCAGGACTACCTAAAACATTTACATCGTCACATGGACACAGACACAGGCATGCACCACAACCAACACAACAACCAACAGTTCAAAACCCTGCACAACAACAACCACAAACAGAGCAAGGACATAAAAGAAGTAGAGAACAAGGAAACCAAGAATTCTTAAAAATGCTTAAAGAAGAGTGTGGTTTCCCAGATACTGTTGACTTTAGTGACAGATATAAAGAAGCTATTGGAAAGTTCAAGGATGGAAATACTGACCCGAACCTATTTAGCTTTATGACTCAGCACCAAATGGGATATAATTTCAAACCTGGAAAATACAAGCTCGCAAAGGGATATGATTTAATAGCATATCATCCAAATGACATGGATGAATTTACTCCGAGATATTTGATGTCAGAGCTAAATGACAATTCAACTTTCGTCATGAAACGCGTAAAAAATAGAGACGGAACGAAAGAACAAAAGCTTATGAATGCGGATGACGTAGATAGGGAAATTGTTAAAAATGGTCTCGGAATATATGAAATGCCAGCAGATGAGGTACAAGAAACTCCACAGGAAGAAGTTCAGATACAACCAGACATGGAAGAAATAGTTCAGCAACAACAGCTAGAAGAGCCTGAAGGAAACGAACAAGTCACTCCTTTGGAAACTAACCTCACAGAACTAGATGAAGATTTGGAACAGCCGAAAAATCTTGACCCTCAACAAGAGTATGCGGAGAATATGGAATATTTCCAAGAGTCTAAAAAAAATTCGGCTGACATAGTAGAAGAATATCGAAAAATGTTTGCCGACATACAAAAGACTCCAACACCAGATGAAAATATTCAGCATAGAATGGAAGCACTGAAAGAAAATGTACACAAATACAACAACCCTTTTTACTTACGAGCATTTAACGTTCAATCTTCGGATGAACTCGGTGAAGATAAAAGGTTAAATTTCAAGAAAACATATAGAAATGAAACATTGTTTAAAGTTCATTCAGAACCTAACCAAGATGGAAACAAACCTACTTTTGTTTCTGCAGACGATGGAACTACAATGAGATGGGGTCATAAAGCTAATCCAGATAGGTGGTTCATAAACTTACAACCACAATTCCAAGAAGTTGTAGACGCAATGGAAGTGAATGGTGAACCAGATATAGCTGGTATTTTCAGCGCGGCTTTAATGCCATTGAAGATATGAAACATGCAGATATTTTGGACCAGTATGAAATGAACATGGCTGATGGAAATATAACACCTGACGTTCTAGAACATTTATCTCAAAGAACTACACAGAACCATAGAGATGGTATATTTGGTGAAGAGTTTAGAAAGAAAGTTAGGGAGGGAGAAGGAAGAGAACCTATTGTACATGACCTTGCAAACGAAAGTTTACAAAATGTCATAAAAACTTACTTTGCAGACGATGAATCGAGAAGGGATGAATATTTAAGAAAACTCAAATGGACAGTACCAAATGAAATGTTAGTATTGAAAAACATGTTCCTTGACAAAATAAAACCAACTACAGAAATAAACGACGCAAGACTGAAAGATTGGGTAGAAGCTTTCCCATTCACAAAAGATATAGTTGGTAACATGGAAAGAAAACCAGAATGGCTACAAAAACATATATTGGAAACGAGCATATTCCATATGGACAGGCACTGTTTGAAGAGCTTGAACCGGAAACTCAGGAAAGAGTCATGCAAACAATACGCAAAGACTCAAATACAGACTATGACAAACTCTTTCTAGGATATAGGTTACCTGAGATGGGCGACCAGAGCCAAAAGGCAAAAAGGACATGGGAAATTTGCAACATACTAGATGAACATAATGCAAAGATGCAACAACTTCAAGCAGAGGGCAATGAAGGAAAAAGAAGAGTTAAAAACTCAGTCAGGAAGAAAGTAAAGCTTGGTCGGAGTGGGTTCTATTATGACATATAAATCCAACTATTCTATATTTTTACTCATATGAAATGTACGCCGCTCAGAATATAACGCCAACAGTTTTGGATGCTATGAATGGAAATGTTTCCGAATGGTATAACGAATGCGACAATGCCATTAGAAGGTCAGAAATAGTTCCTGGAACTTACGAATATACAACTGCTGTTTCTTATGGAAACGTAGGTGAGTTTGGAGAAGGTTCTTCAACAACAGTAGATATTGCTTGCGACAGGTTTCATATAATTTCTATTGACAACTCTTTCTTATACGTGGAACAAGACATTGAAATAAAACCTTCTGCCAAGTTGTCTGACAAGAAAGGTTGCAATGGAATTTTCTATGTCGGATACCAATATGCTCCAGAAGTTTTCATGGGATATAAGATATATTCTAACTCTGACTTAGTTCAAACAGTAACATGGGCAAACTATGAATGGTTCGCTTTGAGAAACTCAGTACAACCACAAGCTAGAGAACAAACAGACAGTATGCAACTATTGAGAAAATAAGAAGACTTGACCCTAACGTTCCAGGAGTTTATGTTAACCTTTCTGGACAAACTGCAGCAGCAGTAACCAAAGTAAAACTGAAACTTAGAGTTCCTTTGTCATCTTTCCTCATCTTCAGGTTTTTAAGATACTTACCAAACTGGGCAGGAAAAATTTCTATTGAACTTACTCCAAGCAAAAATAACTTAGTCATTGCACCAACACAAGACCCATTCACTATTACTGTAGCTGGAACTGGTGGAGCCAAGTTCTGTGACTTTTGCAAAGACAAAGTTGACTTAGACTTTGGTTTCTCAAACCTCAACACTGAAGTAAACTACTACTTCAATGCTGCTGGAACTGCTTGGGACCCAGTTAAGTTCACATGCGAAAAATTTGAATGCAAGAGAATAGAAAGCAGACTTGCAGTCTATATGTTGGACCCAGATATTTCAAATGCTTTAGCTGCCAAATATATTGCAGTTCCACTTATGTTCCCTATACACCAAATATCTGTCAAAGACTTTGCAGGTGAAGTTGGAAACCAAAGTGCTGACCCAGGTGCAAGAACAGATATTGCCTTAACAACTGCAATGAAACATGCAGATACTATGTTTGTACTGTTCAGACGAACTATAAATGACTATTCTTGTTTCTACAACCCCGGTATTAAATATCATATAAACATAGATGGCAAATACTATCCAAGAGAAGAATATTCCACAGTTGAGGATATGAGGTCATACAACTTGACATTAGATGCTATGAACTTTAACAACAACTTCACAACAACCATTAACCCTGAAATGCAAAGTTCTATTATGCCATATGTGAAAGTATGGACTCATACAGGAGCTCAAAACACTCAATATACAAATGGAGACCGTTCAAACTTTTGGCTTGGCATTCCATTTGCTGACTCAGAAGACTTTATGGGTGGTATTTCAACTGTTGGTACTGTACAAATACAATATACTGGTGACAGAGACGGTCCATATGAACTGAGAGCAAAGAAGTTTACAAAACCAATAGCACTTTTCACGGAAGATGCTCTTTTGAAGATTCGTTCGATGAAACCTGCTGGGGCTCCTCAGATTGGCATAACGACAGCTTCCATCGAGCAGATTTTGGCAGCAGGTCAGTAAGTTGTTCTTGAACTGACTTCTCTCCGTCAAATATTGACAGTACGCCAGTTTTGACATAAAATTGTATTATAAACTTACCTTTAGAAATATCTGTAAGTTTTGAAGTTATATTTTTGTCTGCTTCAAGAACTTTCACCATTTCAGTTATACCAACTCTCTTTGCTTTATGAAAATATTTTGTTCAGCAAAGACTGCTATTCTATAACATTTTCCATTGTTTGTGTAAAGAACTATTCTGTCAATGTATTTGTATTGTTTGTGTGTGTAAACTTTGTTCTGCTTCAATTCAAGAGATACTCAAATACGTCCATCTTTTTATTCTAAGTAAAATGTCATTTCCGAAAAATAGAAGCGTAAGTGTTTCAAAAGGTTTAATGGCGGTGGCAGATGTGAAGTTAAATTCACCAACTCAAACAAACAGTCAAAGTGTTGTTGTCAATGTCAAAGAAAGAGATGTTGAAGTGGGGAAACCATACGAAGACGAAGATGGTATAACAATAGTTCCTGTAAAAGAACAACCAACATATCCTGAAGTTAGCAGAGACTTAAGTTCTGTTGCAGATATTCGAAATGACTACCAACAACTTAAAGACAAACTTAAAACTCAGGAGAAGATTTGTCAAGCTTTAGGTATAATGTTAAACTTGGTCGAACACAACCCTGTAAAAGTGAACTCATATGTCATTGCACCTCATGAAGTTTTGAAAAGAACTATTGAAACTTTTGACAGAGGCAGACGATATAAACATCAAAGAAATAGAACCCGACGTTAGTTGCTGTGGTGTTTCATATAATGTCATTGACAAGATATACGTTATGAAAGGAGGTGAAACGTTGAACTTAAAATATAGTTTCCCAGACGTTATAAAAATATTTGACGACCACAACATTTCATTAAAATTTATTTGCTAAGTAAATGGCAGAAGACACAATGGTTTATACTATTACGACTAAAAACCCTGAGTCATATAATTCTATAACAACAAACTTACAAAGTCCTCAAGGACGATATTGTAAACTAACTTTAAACACAATGACGACTAAAGCCTGTTTTGCTCTTTTGACACCAGAAGATTTTATTGTTGTGAATGGTAAAAAATACTCCTTTGAAGATACTTACTCAGATATACCACCAACAGGTTTTGTTGACTTATTTAATACTTTAAGGACGGATGTAACATGTGCTGCAACTAGAGCAGGTTTCATTATGTTTGGATGTCCGACTGAGTTTACTATAAACAATATGAGCTATAATACAAAACTTATTTTCTGGTTTTTACTACCAACAGTTTCCTATAACAGGAAAAGGTGTCATACAAGGAATGTCTATTCCATTGACATTAAGCACACCTATTTTATATATTGTTTCAACTTAGGTTCAAAGTGTTATTCGAATGTCGACAGAAACTATTATGACCAAAAGATACTTATGCGTATAAACAATACTTTCTCTGCTGGTTTGCCTATTGTTCATTCGAATGCAGAATTTTCAACCTTAGTGAACTCAAACACTTTGGCAAGTATAAACGTTGACATTAGTTGACGCAAACTTTGTTCCTGTAAAACTTTTATGTCCTATGTATTTGTCAATGACGGCAGAAAGTTTCGAATTGGAAGATGCAACTGGTGAAAGTATTGTATTACAAGAACAACTTCAACAACAAATAGCTCAAGAACAACAAATGCAACAAATAGCTCAAGAATAAAAAAAATATTTTTTTTATTTTTATAAAAATGTACAGAATAGATGTTTCAGATTTTTATGACTTCCAAGCATTCAGAAATATGTGTCCATTTAGAGACTATAACAAAGCAGTCGAGAATTTGAAACGTTTAGTCATTTATGTTGACTCTGCCCCAGAATGTTATGTTATGAAAGAATGGGATGTTGTCTTTAACAAACAGAGCAACAATAGTGTCTGAACAGGAATGTAGACAGAAACTTAAGAAAATAAAAGTTGTACAAGTTGGAATGAAGATGTTAGATGCTTGGGATATCTTATTGTCAAAGTTAGAAGATTTTTCAGTTCGAGGTATAAAGTTTTATACACCATCTCCAAACTTCTATTCTATCTTCACTGGATATAAATACGAACAAGTAGAATGGAAAGAAAATTATATAGAAGCTTGGTTAGACCATGTCAAAGAAATTATATGCAATGGAAACGAAAAGGTTTTGAGTATATCTTATGTTGGTTTGCAAAACATCTTACAACATCCAAGTGCTAAAAATGAAACTGCTCTCATTGTAATTGGAAAA